TCTGAGCTGCCGGCATACCATAACCAAGGAGACAAATAGGAAGCGAATTGTTGGACACCGAGGCCTGAAAGAGAGGAGATCGCGAGTACTTACCCGTTTGCCCACCCTGCGCAGTCGCCGTGAAGGCAAACCTGGATACACGCGACGAACCCCATTTTGGCCCTACCTCCGACAATCGCCTTAATTAGCCGGCGGTCTGGCGCCCTAAATAATCGGGGGTAAAGAGTCAAACAGGCCTTGTGGCGGAAGAAATTCGTAGCGCGGTTAAAACCCCCGAAATTCCCCGCCACACGGCTACCTATTCAAAGAGGATTTATCGACGAGCAGTTTTCATCAGTCATTTTCACTACTCTACTCTTGGTGAGTTCTTCTTTTGAGTCTTATCAAACTTTCTCATAGCTATCTTTAATTGTTTATAGTATATTCTATCAGCCGTTTTCATATTTTCATTTTCTTTGTAATAGACGTTTGTAGGTGTTCAAAAGACACAGACAATTTTGTTACAACTTCGGTCGTTTTATGTTTTCGAAGCAAAAAATTGACATCAATGAAAATGTCAAACAGTTTTACAAGAGATATTTCAATATATCGATTTCAAGTCAAGATAAACCTTGGATTCCACGCACAGCTTGTAATATCTGTATTGAAACTTTAAGACGCTGGAATAATGCCACAGACACAGTTACACCCATGTCCTTCAAGACACCAATGTTATGGCGGGAACCTTTTAGTCACGATGACTGCTATTTTTGTTTAACTAAAACTACTGGCTTCAACTCTAAAAATTCTCATAAAATAGTGTATCCAAATCTATCAAATGTCACTAAATTGATGATAATGAGACCTGACGATATCACTCCTAATTCTTCAAGTTAGGAGAAAAATGCTGATACTAATATGGGTGGTGAGAAAAGAAATCTCCAAGAGTCTGCAGATAGTGATTCTTATGATTGTCAGAATTCTAAATCTCTACCGATTCTTTTTGATCAAGCTGCACTAAATGACTTAGTCCGAGACTTAGACTTGCACAAAGACAAATCTGAATTACTGAATTCACAGCTAAAAGAGAGAAGTCTTCTTGCCCCTGAAACAACATTTTCTTAATACAGACATCGAGAAAAGTCATTTACTCTGTTCTTTTGAGGTGAGAACTATATTTGTTGCAATAATGTTCATGGTTTAATGCAAAAATGTAGACTGACATATGATCCTGCTGATTGGAGGTTGTTTATCAACTCCTCTAAAAGGAGTTTGAATAGAGTTTTGTTACATAATTCTATTAAATATACGTCTTTGCCTATTGCTTATTCCACTCACTTAAAAGAGTTATATGAAAATGTAGATATTATTCTCTAAGCTATTCATATGAAAATCACAAATAGGACTATATGGAAATTTGAAAATCGCTGGTATGCTTCTTAGAGAACAGTCAGGGTTTACAAAGCACCCATATTTCATATGTTTCTGGGATAACAGAAAAAGGGAGCAGAACTATGTTAAAAAGGGTTGGCCTACTCGTACTTCCCTCAAAAAAGACGATCCTAATATATGAAAAAATCCATTGGTTGATACAACAAAAAATACCACTATCGCCACTACATATCAAATTAGGACTGATTAAGCAATTTGTGAAAGTTCTTGATAAAAATAATGCTTGTTTCAAGTACCTCATTGAAAAATATCCTAAGCTAAGTAATGCAAAGATAAAAGAAAGTATATTTGTAGGGCCTCGGATTCGTAATTACTGAAAACAACTAATTTCGAAAAGATGATGAGTGTAAAAGAAAAAGAAGCCTGGATAAGTTTCCAAAAAGTTGCGTATGGATTTTTGGGTAACAAAAAAGCTCTTAATTATCAAGAACTGATAAGTGGAATGCTAACAAGCTTCAAAAATTTAGGATGTAATATGAGCATAAAGATACACTATTTGCATTCTCATTTGGATTGGTTTCCTGAATAATTAGGTGATGTTAGCGAATAGCAGAGTGAGCGTTTTCTTCAAGACACAGCAGAAATGGAAAGACGTTATCGAGGAAAATGGTCTACAGTTATACTAGCTGACTATAGCTGGTCACTTCAACGCGATGAGCCACATAAATAATATAAAAGGCGATCTAGCACAAGATCTCTCAAACAAAAGCAAAAGAGATTTCACAAAAGTCAAGAAAATTAGATATGCTTAACAACAGTCGTACGCTTGAAAATTTTGTGCTCCAGGGTGAAAAATATTGTTTATAGCTTAACATATGTGGTTACTTTCTGCGTATCTAGCATATGAACTTAATCTTCTTTACTTGTAACCATAAGTTCCGTGAAATTATTGACCGTAATGTCTATGCCTATAAATTTCTCTAGATGCTGTGTCTATCCTCATTCTAAATACGGGTACTCAAAGAAGGTGCGTTCTAGGCTGTACCTTCTGCGACCACAGAGTACACAGTATGGAGAACCAATCGCTCTCCGCCATCTATTGCTCCTGCCTAGCAACAACCGTCTCATCACTATCCACCCTAGCTAACCATATACTATTTTCGTTCCTGCATCTCTTGTATATCTTCTTACGTTGGCGTGTTAGAAAATCTACGGGGGTTACGGCTGCAACCACCAATAAAGCATCTTTAAAGCAATTATAAAGCATCAAGAGTTAAAGCAATTAGGGTAAAAAAGTATGGGGTTATAGCGTCATAGGTTACAGAGTTCGAGGGTTAATAAAAGAGGGATTTAAGGGTCTAGAGCTTTAGCGTCGTTTACAGTTTATAGTGCTCGGGGGTTATGGAAATTAGGGTACAAAGACGTGAGGTTATAGCTTTCAATGTGCCATACGTATGTGCGCATTCGGGAAATTGGCTATTTCGAGACTGATGAAATACTTGATTTCAATCAACGATATCTCAATAAAAAAAAAGATATCTCAAATCTTAAATATAGAATTTAAAGGCTAAGGACATACCTTTTAGATCTCGTTTTCAGAAAAAAAAATTTTCCGCGTTGTTATGGCACTTTATATCAGAACAGAAGTGTAGTTACATATGTAAATACATATAATAAATGAATATAAATATAATAAATTCATAAATACATAGGATAGGTTCGGAGAAATATGTTACATTTACTTATTGTTACTAGGGAGAGAGAGACATAATGAGTCAACAATTTCACTCGTTATAAAATTTACAAAATAAATAAAAGAAAAAATATTTATTTTTGCAAGTGGAATATTATAATATTTTATTTTTTTTTCACAGCTGGCACTCCAAAAAGATGAAAAACTACATCAATTTTTTTTTCACTCATTCAATATTAGTCCATAATAAATGTCATGAATATTATGACATTTATTAAAAATAATTTGTTAATTAATTAATAATCAATTGTTTTTCATCTTTTTGGCGTAGCAGCTGTAAAAAATAAAATTCTTTTAAATAAACAAAAATTTTTTTTCAAAATAATAAAAATAAAATTAGTACAGTATTTCTCTTGCAAAAACAAAAATTTTTTTCTTATATACATTTTTAAAAATTTTTAGAATTTACAAAGATAAAAATTGTTAAAAAAACTATAACTTCCCGGAAAAAATGCCCATGTGCGAGTCGGTTTTGACGAAAATAATTTTTTAATCACTGATACAAATAGAGCTTGATAAAATCTAAAAAATGCTTTAACTAAAATTTTTGTAAGATTTTTTTCCAGATTTGGCAATTTTTCAAAGTTAGCAACAAATTTTCCGAATTTTCAATGTTGTATTATTGCTTGTAAAAAAATTAAAATCAATCGATAATATCTATGAATTATATCATTTCAAAGCTCTTAGAAAGACCTTCCAAACGCGTCTCCGGGCGACTCTGTACGTTTAATTTTATCAGAGACATTGAACTTTAAAGTTTTGACTAATTTTGCAGCAGGGGGCCCAATGTAGGTAACCGACAGTGTACCTATAATGGAGACAAAAATTTTACAAAATTCACTGACTCACAGACCACTTAAGGGTCGCATGTTTTCAAATTATACTTGCAAGCTCTCCTTTCTTAATAATTATACCTACGCCTAATTTTCTTTTTAAATAATGCTAAAATTGCAATACGGTACATTCATTTTGATTAAGCTGAACTTGAATCCTAAATCGTATTATTTTCGTATTTGTTAATTGAGTTAAATTGATTCAAACTATATTTCGACTATGTTCTTAAAATTCGCCTTACGTTGGTTGCTTGGTCAGCCGAGAGTAGAGGAAGGAGAGGGAGCGGCATATGACAAAACGTCGTCGTCTCCTCCCGTCACAATTTCACAAAGCTTACACTCTAAAGTTCAGTTCATTATATTGAATTTGACTGTACATTGATTATACAGGTATGCCTCAACTATAACTAAAATTTTTTTATCCATGCACACTCTTGAACACAACTTTTAAGAAACCGGAAAACTATGACAAAAAGAGCATATCAGTTATGCTTTGTGAAAATTGCTTGTTTATTTTGAAACAAATCTAGCCTAAAATTAAAAGTAAATAAAAATTGAAAAATATTTGAAGCACCATTTTTTAAGAAGAAAATTAAAAATTTTATAATAATAGTGAGGTCACAACTTTTCAAATATTAGTAGCACGTATTTAAAACTATTAACTATTTATTTGATTGAAATAATCAACTGTGCACATGTAGCAAACATAAATTGAAAATATATCGACTAAGTTACACATCAATTCTATAGATTTTCACTTGTGGTGCTTTCAAACTTCTATAATAATAAAAACATCTCAAATAACTCATGATAAATTTATTGTTTATTACATTCTACTCACAAAATATATCGCATAGTGTTGCAAATTATAAATATATTAAAAATTGTAGGTGAAAAGGAGGTAAAACATGAATATTAAAAATGTTGTGGATTTTTCCATTTAACATTTCATTAAATCATTTGTTATTGCTTGTAATTTTTCAACATCGTAGTTTTAGTTTTGTAAGATTCATTTTAGTGATATCAATAATTTTTACACCTACCTGTAGCTTTTTTTGGAACTGCACTGATAGTTCGCGTTTTACTCCTTAAACCTTGTCCTGTACCATCAATCCATATATACTCAGCTTGAATTTTGTCTTGAGGTTGGGGTAAATTGAAGTATCTACTGAGCAGAGTTTTATTTAATCCTGCGTTAGCTGAATTTTTTAATATTTCTCGTGACATTCTGAATCTGTGAAAAAGGAAAAATCTTATTGTTTATTTTAATTTTCTAAAGACATATTAATATACCTTTTAATCCATCGAGACCTATTCATATTTTTTTCTATAGTATTGTTCACCTCAATTTTCCATTTAGGTTTCTAATCTGTGCGACAAGACCTCATCTGTACTAAACAACTTTTTTTGTATTGGTATTTTGTCCACAATGGACTGATAAGTACTTTTGTAATTGCACTAATTTAGATATATAATAATAGATTACTTAATATATTTGAAAAAACTTCAATTGTTTTGAATTACATAAACAAGACCATCTTGAGATAATTACTATACTTTGTTTGAATATTTATTAAACGCTTTAGAACTTTCTAACTTACTTAATTGAATTTTATTATCTATGTGGTACATAATTATATTAGTAATCTTGATCTTAGGAGTCGTCCCTATAAATAAACTAAACACTTATTTTATTATAAACGTTTCGCAATTTTATTTATTGCCACCTCAGTACATCTGTTGAATATATATATTATTATAAATAAATGAATTCTTTCAATATTAATATTGTATTATAATATAAACATACGTTTTGTAATGTAGATAAAATTGAATAAATTAAGAGTTCTTCCGCACATACATGGTCTGTTATAAACATTACACTTTTAATTAAATAAATATTAATTTTTCTGTCTAATAATAAATATAAAAATAGAATAACAATCTTTTGTCAGTTAGGTTAAAATATAGTTTGTCAATTGGGTAAAAACACATCATGATCAGCAAATTAAAAGCTAAGTAACTGTTATGTATATAATGACATATCGTACTGTATATGAAATAAAAGAGAAAGACAGCGAGAGACACAACAAGAGAAAAAGTGTACTTGACGAGTGGGGGAAACACTGGAAGGAAAGGGAATTAGTGATGTATTGTAATAACTATGTTTATTTTTCGTACTGAAACTAAGTAGATTTTATGATGTTGAGTATTCTTGAGTATTGATTGTTTAAATATTTTGTGTCTTCCTGTGAATTGATGGTATTATCCGTAATTTTAATATACACCGACTCTGCGATGCATCTCTTTCTGTAATCAGCTTCTAAATGCATGATTTTTGCATTCTCCCAATCAAATTCATGTTCTGGATTATTCACGATATGGGCCGGTATAGGTAAAAGTTTAAATCTAGAGTTGACTGGATCTTCAATAGTTTTTTTCACGGAATATTTATGTTCACTAATTCTATTTTTGAGAGCTCTTTTGCTTTCACCGATGTAATTCGATGGACATTGTTTACACTGAATATTATAAATTGTGCCTGTTTTTTCCCATTTCTTTAATTTATCTTTGCCTAGACCAATAATATTAGATAGCTTGCTTGTCATTTTTGGTACACATACAACGTTACTCTTCTTTAATGATGATTTGCATTTATAGAAAAATTCTTCTTTAAATGGAATTGGAAAGTAAATTGTCGGTTTATCGTTATTGTTTTTATTACGTGTATTGTTATGACTATATGTATATTTTCTAATGCGATCTCTGATGCACACATCAACAAATTCCTCCGGATAGTCATTGTTATATAACATGTTTCTTATAATAAATATATTATTGTCATGGTGACTTTCATCAGACAACAATATCGATCTATCTATCAAGTTATTAACAATATTCTTTTTTTGTTTTAGTGTGTGATTTGAGTTGTAATTTAAAATACGTCCCGACATAGTTGGTTTTTGGTACCAGTTAGTAATAATCCCATTATTTTTTCTAGTAATTGATAAGTCTAGAAAATTAATAGAACCATTAACCTCTGTCTCGTAAGTAAATTTCAAATGTGAATTATAATCATTAAATACTTCGAAAACACGATCAAAGTCAATGTTTCTGATGCACATTAATGTGTCATCCACATATCGGTAATAAAAAATTGGATTAATATTATATTCTTCTTTCAGAAAAACCAAGCATTGTATCTCCAAATCATCCATGACTAGGTCTGCAAATAATGCTGATAGTGGGTCTCCCATCGAAGTTCCAAATATCTGCTTATAATTTGTATTATTGAAACAAAAATATGCATTGTTGAAAAGAAAATTGATAGTTGTTATGATTTCGTCAAACATCATCAACGATTTTCTATGTAATTTTTGGAACCTCTTGTATATGCTATTAAGAATTAAATATCTAGGTATACTTGTAAATAATGAAACTACGTCGAAAGACACTAATATGTGGTCCGATGGGATGTGAATGTTTTTGATACGTTCTTTCAATTCATAACTATTTTTAATGTGTGAAATTGGATAGGAAATTGTGGAAATTGGATAGGAAATTGAGTATTAGATATGACAGACTATTGGAAAAAGAAAAAAGATTATTGAATAAACGTCAGATAAATAATCATAAGGAAAATTGGGTCAAAAACACTACGGACACATACATCCCGAATGAGGTAATTGAGGTAATATCTTTAGGCCCTAATCATAACATACATAATGATCTTAGCAGAACGGATATAATAGACAGTAATTTAGAATTTATTCTGAGTGGAAAACAAGATAAACATAATAAGGACATGGAAAACTCCTTTAATGATATTAGGAATAATTTGATTAATAATATAAAGTCCAGTCTTAACAACAAAAGACATATAAAAAGATTTGATAAAGACTTCAAAAAAAAGCTCAAAGCCACTAATATTTTTTTAAAAAATAATAACAACCTTTTTTTCACTAGAGCTGACAAAGGCAACATAACGGTATGCTTATACAAGAACGAATACATTGAAAAAATGAATTTGATGTTGTCAGACAATAGTACATACATAATCTGGGAAAAAAATAATACATTAACCAAAATGCAAAAAGATGTCCGATATTTTATTACAAATTTTAATGACAAAGGCTATATTAAAAAATATTTTCCAAACATACATATTAACCAATTTTTTCTAACGCAATCACATACAAATTTAGCTAGAGCATATGGACTTCCAAAAATCCACAAAAATGGTTTTCCACTCAGGCCCGTAGTATCTACAGTTAACACTCCCACGCATTTCCTATCAAAATTAATTAGTAAAGTTCTTAAAGAATCCATAGACTTGCCTAGATCACACATTAAAAATAGTTATGAATTGAAAGAACGTATCAAAAACATTCACATCCCATCGGACCACATATTGGTGTCTTTCGACGTAGTTTCATTATTTACAAGTATACCTAGATATTTAATTCTTAATAGCATATACAAGAGGTTCCAAAAATTACATAGAAAATCGTTGATGATGTTTGACGAAATCATAACAACTATCAATTTTCTTTTCAACAATGCATATTTTTGTTTCAATAATACAAATTATAAGCAGATATTTGGAACTTCGATGGGAGACCCACTATCAGCATTATTTGCAGACCTAGTCATGGATGATTTGGAGATACAATGCTTGGTTTTTCTGAAAGAAGAATATAATATTAATCCAATTTTTTATTACCGATATGTGGATGACACATTAATGTGCATCAGAAACATTGACTTTGATCGTGTTTTCGAAGTATTTAATGATTATAATTCACATTTGAAATTTACTTACGAGACAGAGGTTAATGGTTCTATTAATTTTCTAGACTTATCAATTACTAGAAAAAATAATGGGATTATTACTAACTGGTACCAAAAACCAACTATGTCGGGACGTATTTTAAATTACAACTCAAATCACACACTAAAACAAAAAAAGAATATTGTTAATAACTTGATAGATAGATCGATATTGTTGTCTGATGAAAGTCACCATGACAATAATATATTTATTATAAGAAACATGTTATATAACAATGACTATCCGGAGGAATTTGTTGATGTGTGCATCAGAGATCGCATTAGAAAATATACATATAGTCATAACAATACACGTAATAAAAACAATAACGATAAACCGACAATTTACTTTCCAATTCCATTTAAAGAAGAATTTTTCTATAAATGCAAATCATCATTAAAGAAGAGTAACGTTGTATGTGTACCAAAAATGACAAGCAAGCTATCTAATATTATTGGTCTAGGCAAAGATAAATTAAAGAAATGGGAAAAAACAGGCACAATTTATAATATTCAGTGTAAACAATGTCCATCGAATTACATCGGTGAAAGCAAAAGAGCTCTCAAAAATAGAATTAGTGAACATAAATATTCCGTGAAAAAAACTATTGAAGATCCAGTCAACTCTAGATTTAAACTTTTACCTATACCGGCCCATATCGTGAATAATCCAGAACATGAATTTGATTGGGAGAATGCAAAAATCATGCATTTAGAAGCTGATTACAGAAAGAGATGCATCGCAGAGTCGGTGTATATTAAAATTACGGATAATACCATCAATTCACAGGAAGACACAAAATATTTAAACAATCAATACTCAAGAATACTCAACATCATAAAATCTACTTAGTTTCAGTACGAAAAATAAACATAGTTATTACAATATATCACTAATTCCCTTTCCTTCCAGTGTTTCCCCCACTCGTCAAGTACACTTTTTCTCTTGTTGTGTCTCTCGCTGTCTTTCTCTTTTATTTCATATACAGTACGATATGTCATTATATACATAACAGTTACTTAGCTTTTAATTTGCTGATCATGATGTGTTTTTACCCAATTGACAAACTATATTTTAACCTAACTGACAAAAGATTGTTATTCTATTTTTATATTTATTATTAGACAGAAAAATTAATATTTATTTAATTAAAAGTGTAATGTTTATAACAGACCATGTATGTGCGGAAGAACTCTTAATTTATTCAATTTTATCTACATTACAAAACGTATGTTTATATTATAATACAATATTAATATTGAAAGAATTCATTTATTTATAATAATATATATATTCAACAGATGTACTGAGGTGGCAATAAATAAAATTGCGAAACGTTTATAATAAAATAAGTGTTTAGTTTATTTATAGGGACGACTCCTAAGATCAAGATTACTAATATA